AGCTGTCGGTTTTCTGGATGATGTAAAATTGGAAACCGCTCATCGTGGTTCTGCGGGTAACTGAAATATAACTTACTATTAAATAATCTATCATTTTCGATTATTTTCGATTATTTAATAATTGCTTATATAAATTTTAAGGTCAACAAGCTACATGGATTGAGACATGTACATGTCCTTCTGGTTATATTGGCCAGTATTGTGAATCCTGTGCACCAGGTTTTAGACACACACCTGCAAACGGAGGACCATTTGCTTCTTGCGTTCCTTGCGAGTGTAATGGTCATACGGATATATGCGATTCTGACACAGGTTGATAATTTGAAATAAAAATATCTTATATTTATTTAAAATCATTATGTAATATTAAATGGATAATTTTCAGGTCGGTGTATTTGTGATCATAACACTGCCGGTGACAATTGTGAACTTTGCGCAAGAGGCTATTATGGAAGTGCCCTTGGCGGTACACCTTACGATTGCAAAGTGTGCCCTTGTCCAGAAAGAGGTGCTTGTTTACAGCTTCCTGATGAGACTGTGGTTTGTCTAGAATGTCCTGCTGGATATGCAGGTCCTCGTTGTGATCTTTGCTCAGATGGATTTTATGGAGACCCTACGGGAAGACAGACAGGCTATGCTGAACCTTGCAGACCTTGCGATTGTAATAACAATGTTGATGTTAATGCCGTAGGAAATTGTAACAGAACCACAGGTACCCCATTTTAATTTTGAATAAAAAAATAATTTACAAAGTTTTGTTTATTGTATTGACAAATTTATGTATAAATCTGAAAATTAATTTATCAAGGTGCATGTTTGAAATGTATTCATCACACGGCCGGAGAACGTTGTGACCATTGTTTGCCTGGATACTACGGTGATGCCCTTGCTCTTCCCCAAGGCGATTGTAGACGTTGTGCTTGCAATCCATACGGAACTGAATATACCAAAGAGGGCGGACCACCAAAATGTGATCAAATTTCTGGTCATTGCATGTGCAAACCACATGTCACAGGAAAGAACTGCGATATTTGCGAGGTAAATATAATATTAAAAATTTATTGGCTTATTGATTCTGTGGACTTTCAAATAACTTCGAATTATTTACAGGTCGGTTATTATGATTTGACAAGTGGAAATGGTTGCAAAGATTGCAATTGCAATCCGATAGGATCTGTAGGCCCAGCTTGTGATGCTGATACTGGACAGTGTCAATGCAGGCCAGGTGTAACTGGAAAACTTTGTGACTCTTGCGCACCTTTACAATATGGTTTCTCTTCAACCGGGTGTTCGCCTTGTGATTGCGATGAAACAGGATCTCAGTGAGTAATATTTATATATTCTAGTTGTACATTCCTTTCTTAAATAAAATGAAATTCTAATATTTTTTTTTCCGATTTTAGGAGCTTGCAGTGCGATGTAAATGGACAATGTCCTTGTAACGATAATGTAGAAGGTAGACGTTGTGATCGATGCAAAGAAAATACCTACGACAGAAAACGAGGATGTATTGATTGTCCGCACTGTTACAACCTGGTGAGAGACGCTGTTCATAGACATCGTGATAGACTTCATGAAATGCAAAAGGTATAATATTTAATAATTAATAATTAATCTAAACATAAATGATTTTTTATTATTCCAACGTAATAACATTTTATTATTTTTTATTCAGGTACTGGCCGACATTAAGAGCAATCCCACAGTTGTTGATAATACTGAATTTGACGAAAAACTTAATCAAATTCAAAAACAAGTCGATAAGCTCTCGGCAGACGCTAAATTAGCAACAGGAGGTGGAGATAAGAGTTTGTTCGATCATGTTTCAGAACTTCAGGATAGGTAAGATTTTAATTTTTTTTTAAATATATTTTTTTGCGAATGGTATAGAGTTATTATTCCCACAATTATAGATTATCAAAATGTGAGGCACTAGTCGATCAAGTGAATCTATTGGCGGACGAAGGTCGAAAAACAGCAGCTATGGGAAAACAAGATCTAGAAGCCGCTCAAGCTATAATTGAAGCTGCCACAAAGGAATTGAATGTGAGTAAAAATGGAATTATATAAATAAATACAAATAACCAAAATTATTTATTACTTTCAGGATGCGTTGGACTTTTTGGCCGACGAGGGTGTTAAGGCTTTAGATCGCGCAACAAATAGAAGTCAGCAACTCGGTCATCAATCTGAAGCAATGTCGAATATTGTAAAAGAAGCTCAACAACTTGCACATGATTTAGAAGAAGAAGATAAGACTATTAGAGAAACTGCTCAACGAGCTCTAAACGTTTCTACAGAGGCTTACGATGTTGCTAAAGGGGCCTTGGACTTGCAAGACAATGTGACGTAAGAAAGATGTTTTATGAAAATAATATTTTTAAAATTTAAAATCAATTTTTATATGTATTTCTAACATTTATATTTAGAGATTCGATTAGAGGACTGACCGCAGCTGTCGCCCATGCAAGAGTACGTTTGGAAACAACACTCGATCATTCAAGAGAAACTCTTGAACTCGCTGATAAGGTAAATGACAATATTTTGATTTTTATAAATGGTTTGATCTAATTAAATTATTCCCCGTTTATGTGTTTTGTTTTTGAATAATATTTTTTTACCAGGCTCAAAAAGATGCTCTAGCCATTTACACCGAAGTCGACAATGCCGCTTTGCCCGAGATAGATATTGCAAAGCTTCGCGAAGATGCAAAATATATAATGGATGAAGCTGAAGAAATAAAATTAGCTGCTGAAGATTTGTTTGTAGGTCCTCGTGGAGATAAAATGGCAGAAATTGAAGATCAAATTGATTACGCGCGAGATTTAGTCAATCGTGTCGTTAATCAGCAAAATGATATTGATGCCCTATTAGCAGAAGCTGATTCTTCGAATCAACTTGCAAAAGAAGCAGTGGAGTTGGGAGATAAAACGTTGGCCGAAGCACAAAAAACTCTACAGACATTATTAGGTAAAAATTATTTATTATTATTGAAGATTAATGTTAACTAATACATCGTCACTACAATCTTTTTCTTAGGGTTCCATGAGGAAGTTGAGTCTTCACGTAACGCGGCCCAAGAAGCACTTACCAAAGATAAAGTACAAATCGAGAATGATATTAGAGAAGCTACAGACCAAATTATTACTGCTGAAATTGCCCTTTCTGGCGTTGTAAGTAATGCCGAAAATGCAAAAGCTACTGCTTTGGAGGCTCAAACTCAGGCACAAAATGCTAATAAGGTAAATATATGAAAAAATGTCTATTTTTTCATCGTTTTTTGCCAATTGTTACCTAATATTTCCTTTACCAATTACAGCTGGCCAACGAAATTCTGAAACAAGCAAATAGCACTAAAGCAGAGGTTTATCGATATGATGCCGAATCAAAAGATTTAGATAGACGTGTCAACGAAACCGCTTTGCGTATAGAGTTACTCGAAGTCCAGGCCAAGGATGAAGAAGATCTTACCAGTTCCGCCAAAACATTGGTGGGCCAAGCTAAAAGCGACGCTGAAGAGGCTTCTAAGCAAGTTGAAAAGGCGCTTAGAGATGTCGAGGATATAAAGAAGGAGCTGGAAAAGTTACCAGACATCGATGAGTCAGATCTGGCAGAATTGGGTAAGTGAGATAAAAGATTTGGTTAAGAACCAAGTTTACTACTGTTTTGTTTATCTGTTAGTTGTTCTTTTCATTGGAAAAATGGGTAACGATATATGTTTTATATCCGATTTTATATTTTTTTTTGACGCTACAAGCCATTCTGAAGCTTTTGGAAATAAAATGGTTTGACTTTTTATCTACGTTTTCTCAAAACCAGCTGCAACGATTTCTAAATTTTAAAAACTATTACAGTTTACAAGTATGTAAGTACAACATTTTTTATTCGTGTTTTCGCTAAAAATGGGACGGATTTTGAAAATTCGAAAGCTATTCGAAACATATCAGTTGGAAATTGTGCTGATCAGTTTTTGGTCAAGATTGGTCGGGACGTTACTTCGTAATTTATTGTTAAAATAATTTTGTTTGAAGATTTAGTGGCTTAGTTATATAAAATATCATCAATATTTGGAATAATGGGTCGTGTTAAGATTTGAACGAACTTCTATCTTCACATATCGTGAGGTTATTGCAAGTTGCCTCAAGGCAAAAAGCCACTCACACCTAGTTAACCTTTATCTTCAGAGAGAAAACTTACCGATGCCGAAAACATTATCAAAGCAGCCAACTTGGATGTTAGGATCGAGCAATTACGAGCTACTCAGAAAAAGCAACAGGGTTGGATACGCGATCACAAAGACGAATTGGAAAGATTGCAGGCGGAAGTAGAAGCAGTTCAAGCAATTGCAGATGCACTACCAGCAGGCTGCTTCAAGAGAGCCCGCCTTGAACCATATTAATTAAAAGATCTTTAAAAAATGCAATAACAAAATGATCAATCTCGGGATTGATAGATACCACCGAATTATAAATTTAAATTATCGTGCATCAATATTCTATTATTGTTTTTATACTTTATTATTTTTTCGCCATAAATCTCTTAGAATCTCTTGCATATTATTTGTGCCATCTACGGAACTGATAGAATTAATTGATTCTCACCTACAGTCAACTTTTTACAGGTATTTCATTAGTTGTATGTCTTATATGTATATTTTAAATCTAAATTGTGCTTCTACGAGATATTTATAAGGACAAAGTGCATTTAAGAATTAATCGACTTGGTCAAAGATAGAGTTTTATATGATTAGATAAGAAATTTATAGTTAGATGTCGTATAATTTTATATTTCTAATAAAATATTGTTAGAATATTGTGGTTTTAATGGGATAGATGCAAATTAACAACCTTGTTAAATCATCCTTTTTTAACAAAGTACTTAAAAAAATTATAATAAGGTTAATAAATAATAAGCTTCAAATAACTTAATCTGCGACATGTATATTCTGGAATATAATAATATTTATTTTAATGAATAATACTTTATAATTATCTTTTATCTTATCTTTGCAAATCGGTTGGCTTATAACATGCCTCCGGCAGTGCTGCAGCAATGTATTTTACATTTTCTACTTCGTTTTCCAAAAGTTTTAATTCATCTTCTTTCATCGAAATTAAATAAGTTTGTTTTACTTGTATATTTTGGAGTTTTAATATCTGACCAGATATATCATCATCATTTAATTGTTTCTCTAGCAGCTTAATTCTTCTTTCTGAAGTATATGAACGTATATAACTATATATCATCTAAAGTTATATTATTTTATATTTACCTAATTTGTTGAGAGTTTGTTCATCAATTTCTATCGGGTTATTTAAATTTGTTCTTATATCTTCGAGTTCTAATAGTCTTTTATTTAAAGTTTCTGCGAATGACTCCATATCAGAATGCAATTTATTTTGGTTCTTACTAGATTCTTTTAGTAAAGCTTCATCTTTTTTATATACATCATTTTCTTTCACAAACCGGTCTTCAGTCAGTTTTAGATAATCATCTAAATTTTGAAGAGTATCTTCCGTAGAATTTAAATTTTCTTGGATATTTTCTACATCATCTTGTGTGGATTTAACTTGCTAAAACGTAATCATCTTTTTATATATATATAGTTTATTTTTTCGATCACTGTTATCTCTTTATTTAACCAAAGTACCTGCTTAGAATCCTGAATCTCTCCATTAATCACGGATATATTCAAGTATTCTATGTTGTTTTTTATTTCAGACACTCTTCCCCCAAAATTATTAATTTCAATTGATATTTCATTCATATCATTTTTTATTTGTTGTCTTTCATTAAGTGCATCTTTAGCGGCTTCTTTCACTTTTTTCAAGTTGTTGTTCTCTGCAAAGTAAAATTTAGAATTGAATAGGAAACTTCATTTACATTCCCCATAGATATTGAAATCCATGTAAATTTTCGATAGTTCTGCTTTCAACAATATTTTAGTTGGTTTATAAAATAAAGTTCATTGCTTTAGTGACCATAGAGTAAATTAAAGGACGAAAAAATGAAGTAATTGTTATGTGCTGAAGTGCTAATTGATGGTGAGACTCATATATATTTTTTGTTCGAAATTATCAAAAATGGGAATATCTCCAACAAGAAGCAGGCTACATTACGTTAATAGACAGTTTAGACAGAGTGGTAAATGATGGTGATGGTGAAGCAAATGATCCGTTATTGGCTAATCGTGATTTCCAACGGCATTTTTTGATGGTATCTACTACAAAAGAGAGTTGGGCCATCAGTACATTAAAACTTCGGATTGCATGGATTGGATTGGTACTACAACATATGAAACTGGTAAGTGTTTTCGTGAATTTAATTTCCTATATTATTCCTATATATTTGAAACTATATTTTATTATGTTCATCTCATATCCAGTTGTCTTGATATTTGGAATCCAAAGCTTTTATGTGCTTGGCATAGGTCTACAATCGTTCGATACAGATTGGGATATTAAAATTATAATAGTTTCTCTTTAATCATTTTTGGTATAAAGTGTTTCTTACCCGATACTTCTTCCAGTGTTTTCTTAGCATTTTCTAACACATCATTTGCCATCTTTATCGCTTCCTTTGCCATATTGTTATAATTATTAACGCTCTCCAACATTGCATTCCATTCTTTCACCAATTCACTCCAAGATTCCATAACATTAGAATTTGTTTCTAATTCTTTTTTAATTTTTTGATATAAATGTGGTCCATTTAAAAAATCATCTGCTTCTCTTATGATCCGATTAGACACTCTATTCATAGCTTCTATGCGGTTACCAAATTCGGGAATATTAATTTCAGGAACAGTTGCATTATTTATATCCTGTATTATTTCGATATAATCATTTTTGGTCTGGAATATATGATTTTAATGATGGTTATTAATTTTAAAAATATTGTATACTACAAATTGGAAAATACAAACATCCAATAAAAGTTGCTTCGTATCATCAACAAGTTCGAGTAACTCTTGCATGTCATTTTTTGACGATTCGGTTCTATTCTGCAAGTACTCTAGCCAGGAGCTGTTTTGAATTAATACATTTATTAGAAAAAAATAAAATAAAAACATTAAGTTACTTACTCAGTTTCATTAGGGAATAATTCATTTAATTCAGGCTCTTTGGATAAAAGTTGATCGGAAATATTTTTAACTTGTGTTGCTAAATCTGTAATTGTGTTAACATTGTTTTCTAGCTCAGTTGCTAGATCTTTGGCTTCTTTTGCTATATTTTCCAGATCCTTAGATGAATTAACTGTTTCAGAAAACTTTTCTGCATCTTCCAGTGCTTTTTTACCTTCAGTTTTTATATAGGTCAAAGCGGCCTAAAATTGTAACAATCATTCAGATTTTGAATGCATTTTTCATCTATATTGTTAACTTAATAATTATTGTTTAAATTTTTTAAAAATTAAAATTATTCATCTTACTTAGAATTACCTCAAATGTAAAACCTTGAGCAAATACAGGAAGGCGAGTTATTTAGAATTATGTGCATAAATTTTATTAAATGAAACAAAAGAACATTTAATTGTTCAATGAAGAACATTTTTTAGGAGACCAGATGCATTAATAAAATGTTTTAAGAGAGATTGCATTTTTATGTTTATTGAATAACTAATATCTTATTTTTTGTCTATTTATTCTTGTTACCTCGACTTCAGGTTCAGCTTGTGAAATGCTATCTTTTGCTCTGAGCAACTCGTTTTCGAGCATATTAATAAGGTCCTGCGAGTCTCGAGCTATGTCATTTAGGTCATCAATATATTTTGGCAAAGAATCTAAAAATCTGTGAATTACATTTAAAATTATATTGGTCCAAGTAATAAATTATTTCAATATTATGTTATAATATATACTGTGTTTGTATGGAGGCTGCTAGTTCAGTAAGATTCGTATTTTTGTCGTTGATATCGCTTATTGAACTAATAGTATCTTGTTTAAGATCATCAACGATTTGTTTTAAATCTCCGAACTCATTGTCGAAATCAGTATCGGTACTGTTATCCGCAGATATATCATTCAGATCCTTTAAGTAAAATCTTTCTTGTTTATATTGTATTTAAGATTTTAAGAGATTGAAATTGTACCTGTTTTTTCTGATCGATCAATTGCTTGTAGTCTGTAAAATCTGCTTCCACATAGTCATAACACCGTGGGCAGTCGAAACAGCCTTTGCGAATTCCTAGTTTTTTGCCAATACATTTATCACAAGTTTTTCCTTCAACCTGGTCATGGCAAGGACAGCGTCCATATTCATCACACTGCGTACTCCTGAAAAGATAAAAATATAAAATTATAGTAAATCAAATTCTTAAAAAATAAAATAATTTCAGATATAATTTCTTTTACAAAAATTAAGATGTTTATTTCGGGTCGTGAATTCAATGAATATATCCAAAATTAGAATCCAGAATGATTTTGATTTTAGAGATGTATTTCTATTTATTTATGGGAATTTTTTACTTGGATCCATATTTATGGCAATTGCATTCAGTACAGCCAGTAGATGAAAATCCATAGTGTAAAGGAGCACAAACATCGCATTTTTGGCCCAAAACTCCTGGTCTGCATTTGCATTGCCCAGTTTCAGCAGAGCAATTTTCACCTATACTTCCAATTGGATCACAATCACATTTTTTGCACCCATTGTCGCCTTGAAAATAGTAGCCTTCCTATAAAAAGTTTTTAATTTTGTTTGAGTTGTTATGATGACAGTTTTGGATAAAAAATCTACGTGGCTTCCATCATCTATATTCGATTGATTTTTATTTTAAGACCTTCTCTAATAGTGATGAGGAAGGACTATTTTTACTTAGGAACATTTGAAATCTTTTAAGTGAACGCTGATATCACTACTGCTTGATATCGGTATGACGTGGGCAAAGAGCTCAAAGTTTAATGAATCAAATAATATTAAATTTTCTCTGAATAAATATTTTTTTGTTTACCTCGCATTCATCGCAAAGTTTACCCTTGGCATGGGGTACGCATAAACAATCACCAGTGTCTCTATCGCATTGTATTGGACTAGTTAATTTTGGTGGTTTCAGACTGCCCCATAAATTACAAGAGCAAGGTTTACAATCTCTTTGTAGAGCATTTCCATAAAATCCAGGCGCACAACTCTCGCAATGGTCACCTGTAGTGTTGTTTAGACATTTATAGCAGACACCTGAGAATAAAAAATTAATGCTGAATTTGATATCTATATGAGCAACCTAGCTTATTGGATTATTATTTTCTATATTTCACTTATTTTTACCTGTTTGCCTATCACAACTTCCAGCATCACTAATGTCCGCATTACCATTGCAATTGCAAGGTACGCAATTGACATTAAATTCAGACAATTCTAGAGCAGAATTATCAAAATAACCAGAATCGCATTTGTCGCATAGTTGACCTGCATACCCTTTTGGGCAATTTAGACATGTCATTGTCTCATCTGGTAGTTGCAAGCAATTAGAACTATTTGGACATGGACAAGGGACACAAATGGCATGCAGATTCTCTCCGGTAGACATACTGTATTGTCCGTTTGGACATAGTTGAAAATCCAGTTCTTCGCTGTTTTGACATGATATTTGACCTGGGAAAAAATTAGATGAACTTAATAATTAACAGCAGTAAGAAGTCAATAGTCGTAGGAGCTTGTGGTGATGACTTCTTAATGACGTGGGCTTATAAATGGCAACCCAACCCCATTGATGACTTTTTTTTTGTATGCAGCAAAAATTTATATCAAAAATGATATTAGGATTGATATTTTCTCAAACTGATTTTCTGATTCGAAATGCGGTGTAATAAATACAATGCATCTGTTACTTCTTTAAAATATATTTTTTAATTATATTAATGTGGATAGAGCATTAACCTCATTTCTATAAGAAATGTAATATATATATGCCTTTAAATTTCCAACAGAACATTAAAACTGTAATTTATATACATATCTCAATATTTTTTTGTTTACATTTTTGTCAATGTAAATAAAATTATCAAAATTCCAACTAATATATCTTTCGTATTTGCTTAAAGCTTCTTACCAAATTCAAGAGTAATCCCTATAGATAAGAACAATATTAATCGTATCATATTCACACATTCACTTCTTCACTTATAAAGATTTCGACTTATAATAATAACAATAAATAAATTCACTTATAGTATTAATTTATAGAAAAATCTCTTTTAAAACATGTTTATGATCTGGCATACCTGGCGTTACTATTCCGCAATGAGTTTATCTATGTTTCGTACATATCACTTACAAGATAACAAAGATAATAAAAATGACCTCGGAAGTATCGTAGATTTAGTTTATAAATCGTTTTTATGAGTTTTTTCCAAAGTTTATTAACAACTTGATCAATATAGAATTGATAAGGCAAGCCTGATATCAAGCAGTAGTGATATCTGTTTTATTTGAAAATGTTTACAAGTAAAAATAGCCATTCCCTGGAGTAGCTGAATCAATTAGCAAATATACTATTAGTATTAGTGAAATTATTGAAATGATGATCATCTTCTTCAAAAAACATAAAAATGTGTTTGATCTCATATACATTGCAATATTTCTTTATGGTGCATCATAAATAGTTTTTAACAATTATACGAAATTTATATATTTAGATAAAAAACAAAAATTTTCAAATTACTTATATTGTTTATTATAAATAACAAAGCCGGCTTTTGTTACTCAAAAATATATGCCTATTTTAAATTTGACGTTAGAGTATTCTCTCGATAAATGAGTAGTATCAAAATTAATTTGACCGATGAAATCGGATGCAGAGAATAATAAATAGATCCACAATATTCAGCTAACAAGCAAAGGTATTACATCAATATTTATGAATTCTACATGAGCAAAAAACAAATTTACATTTTCTTTAGTCCCAAAATGTATGGATGTGGCAAACAAGATACATCTCGTCCAGGAACTCCATCTCGTGCTGCCAGAACTGTTCCTGATGATCTGCGAGAAGTTCTGATGGAATTCACGATGAGCTATCTTCTTGAGCAGCCAGCTGATGTAGTAGATTATGCCATAGATTATTTTACAAAAATAAAGGAAAACAGAGTGACTATAACTATGGAACCATCATCTGTAGTAAATATGAGAGACTGATCTTAACACGAGTCTTTTGATGATATTTTTAAAGTTGGATGTTTTTCTGAATATAGAGTGAATTAGAAGAACCAGAACTAGCAGAACCTTTATCTAATATGACTTTCAACGTACGTAGGCGTTCTGTTTTTGCCGAAACTTACGATCCCGCAATGGACAGTGATGAAGTGGCAATCTACCCAAAATCTGAAGACCAACGAAAACGATTGGAACAGGTAGAAATTGATTTTTTTATTTTTAAGTTTTTCAATGAGTAGCTTAAGTTTTCACCAGAAAATCCGACTTGCTAGTCATTCCTGGGTGCGCCATCAATATGTCAATGGAAACATTGAATCTATCAATAGGTCAATAGAAACATTGAAGTTTTGTTTGCGCAATGAAGGGGGTCATTTGATCGATGTTGTTTTTCAAACCTAGCTGGAAAAAATTGTAAAGCATTAAATTTGGAAATAAAAATAAGTTTATCAAAATTCATTAGAAATTATTCAAGTTATTCAACATTTCCATTGACCACATATAAATGGCGCACCCTGTACGCATGTGGTACGTGAACCAAAATTTGATCTTTCTTCTATATAAAACCAATTTCCAAATTTTAAAAACCATCCGATTGCGTTGACTAGTTTATAAAGACAAAGACTCATTTAAAATATTAAATTATATTGTTTCTATTTATTAATTATTAACCATTCAACAAATCTACTATATAACTCTCAACACTTGTCACTAAGCCATAACCACATAACGTCCCCATAAACTGTATTTTGCATATCAACTTTTAATATTGTTCATTTATAAATATAATAAATTAAATTAATGATCAATAAATATGCAGTCTGTGAAAGGAATAATACTGTTTCGATCTCTGGACGGAGAGCAGATGAATATCGTGCTGGACGCAATGTTTGAGAAGAGGGTGCATTCTGGAGATTACATAATTAAACAAGTAAAATTTATTTGGATTTAGTAATTTACTTATTAAATAATTTGTTTATTACCAATGGTAACAAATATACTTGTATCATTAGAATTTCTCCAATACTGATGATTTATAACTCGATGCAGCAATATGCTGGTAAAAGGCCATTTTTATATGGAAAATTATTGTCTATTTGCAGGGTGATGACGGAGACAATTTTTATGTTGTTGAAACCGGAACTTTTAAAGCATATGTAACCAACATTCCCGGAGAAGAGCCGAAATTAATTCATACATACGAAAACAGCGGTAGTTTTGGAGAATTGGCATTACTTTACAATATGCCTAGAGCAGCTACTATACAAGTAATAATTATGAATTAATAGAAAAAAAATAATATATTTTTTAACAATTTATATTTTTACTACAGGCAATAACTGATGGCTCTTTATGGGCTATGGACAGGTGTACGTTTAGGCGTATTCTTTTGAAAACCGCTTTCAAAAAACGCAAAATGTATGAAAATCTCATCAACAGTGTTCCTATGTTAAAATGTCTTCAGCCCTATGAACGAATGAATCTTGCTGATGCATTGGTATCAAAGGAATATAAACCAGAAGAGCAAATAATAAAGTATGTATAAATTAAAATACAAAAATTTTATAGTATTTAATTTCATGCTAAACTATCGTACCACTAAACTTGATCAATGTTGCCTAAATTAGTTTTCAAATGAAGTCCTTTTCAGGGGCTCTTATTTATGACAAAGTAATGACAGTTTATGGTTGAAATGTTGTTTCATTTATAATACGAAATCGACAACATTGAATTTATTCCGCTTGACATTTCACGATTTAAAATGTTCGAATTCACTTTTGCCATTTAATTAGCATTTTGCTAGTTTCAAGTTATATGCACGTTAGGAGTAGTGCAACTATGTATAAATAAATAAGAGGATTGAAGTAAAAAAATTTAATAATTAGTAGTAAGTTTTTCTCAAACCTTCAAAATATGCAAATTTTGCTAGCGATTGTTAAAAGAAAAATTAAAAATATAAAGATACCTTTTTTATTGCAACTTGTAAAAAAATCTTATGATGGTCACTTGTTATCTATAAATTAACACTTTTTAATTCGAATATTCGATCTACTTTTTTCATAAAAGTTGTACAACTTTTGATATAGCAGGTGGGTACCTGCCTAAAAATTAAAATGCTAGACAAAATAAATACCGTTATACTTTCATGGTTTTATCATTATTTATTGCAAACATTACCAAAGCAACGACATTGCATTATGTGCCACAAAAATAGACGAACTGTATATTTATTAAGTGCATTGAATTAAATTGAAATACCTTTTATCAGTAGATAATAGTATAGTGAATCAATTACACATTGATAAAATTAGGATAAATATGCAAAAATTAAATTTTACACAGTGAGTTTAATTATTTAAAATTATTTTTAACAATTTTTATAATTTTTTTAATTTCTGTCCTACAGACAAGGTGATTCTGCAGATGGAATGTATTTTGTGGAAGATGGAGTGGTTACCATAACAGTTCATGGAGATGATGGTCGTGAAATAGAAGTGAATAAAATTATAAAAGGCGGATATTTTGGTGAATTAGCTTTGGTGACGCACAGGTAAGTGAAAAATTATTTTTCTAACTAATTTATAGGGATTTAATCTAAGAAATCACAAAATTCGAACATATTTAACCATTGATTTGGTACATTGATTCTAATAATCGTCTATTTTTTAAAGTTAATATTCTTACAGTTGAAGTTAATATTATTATCAAATGCTAATTAGAAAATACTTAAAAATTTTAAATTTTACCGATATTTTAATAATTAAATATAAATAGTGTATCGAACCGACCGAACCGTTACTTTATCATTTCTTGAATGAATACTGGAATTCTGTACAAAGGCCTTGTAAGATTAATATTTCCTGATACTAAAGTTTTGCTTTAGATATGCTAAATCTAGCTAGATTTATCATGTTATATTATTTTGCTTAACATGCAAAATATTTAAAAATTTGAAAATTTATATAACACTTTCTAAATTTTTACTAATTATTGAAATTTCTTCACAAATTATTCAAACCTGATTTTATTTGTTTGTTGTCACCCCAAAATCTGTATTTTTTCTTATGACTTTGCACAAAGCGATTGCACATTTTTCAAAAGTCGTCCACAAACATCTGTCTATAAATCTGAACAATTTCTGAAATTTTAAATCCACTTAGAATTTTTTTTACCGCTATTCCATAATTTAATTTGCTATCTAGACCACGAGCAGCATCAGCCTATGCCCACAATAACGTTAAACTTGCATTTCTGGACGTCGATGCCTTTGAGCGATTGCTCGGACCTTGTATGGAATTAATGAAAAGAAATTTTGATGATTACGAAGAACAATTGTTGCGAATTTTTGGCTCAAAAACCAACATTAGTGATCTTCGTGGTGAATGAATGGATGAATGTCTTGCGAATGAAAAAAAATCGATGTTGTCTTGGCATGATTGATGTTGTTACTCACTCCTGATCCTTAATTTTTAATTTGTCAACTCAATATCTCCGTATAACGTAGTAATACTTTTTATTCAAATAAATCTATTTTATCATTTACGTTATGTTATCTTTGATCCATCTAATCTAATCTAATTATACACAACAACCGATTGCTGTATAAATTCTTGAATAATTTGATAATAAGATAATAAGTGATAATAACATCTCTAAAAGCATATACTGAATTATTGACCAATGATAAGTCATTATGTAATTCTACAATTTATTCAAAATCTACAGTATTATCTAATTCATCGCTTCAATATCAATAACCTTGTGTTTATACCGAAAGGGTTAAAATTATAATATCGCCTTTCAGAAACACTGGATTACAATCGCAAAATTATTATTAATGTTTAAAATTAATTAACTACCATTGGACTACTTTTTATACATAACAGTATTTATTTACTACCATTCATTCATCGAATTCAAATATGCTTTACATAAGTTTCTATGTCGAACAGTGAAATTTAAAAACTCGCACTTATATAATTAATGATATATTTATTATTTAAACTTAAATTTATTATTTAAACTGATTCGTTGGATTTTTAATGAAAATCTTACGATATGTGCTGAGCAATGTAGTAATGATTAATTTCAACGTCTATAGTTTGCAATATCTGGGTTACAATACATATAACAACATATTGAATGAACGCAATAATACGTCGGCGTTCCATTTGGCTTATTTATAATCGAATTAAATATTTATATTACCTGTAGAAAATAATGTAAACACAGGATAAATAATTTTAAATCATTTGTTCAACAGTATTCATACAAAATAGCGCGTTTTAGTTCGAAAAATAGTTAATTTAAAGGAAAGAAAATGATGACCTGTGTTTGCCAGGTTTAGGTTTCATCATAACCCTTTAGGTTTCATCATAACCTTGTATTTTTAATTTTCTGAAAATCTTTAAAATATTACTAAAAAATTTGTAAAAAAAGCTTTTTTACGTAAAGCTTAATTTTTATTTCATTGTTTTTTTATATAATAGAAACTTAAAATTGAAGTTAAACCCTTGGTCATTTGGAATCCGCAGGATAAAGATCATAATTTAATGGAGTTAAAAGATTTATGATACGTTATGGTCTAAATATCCAATATACATGATTATGTACTGCATATCTCAGTTTACATCAATAAAATTTTAATTAAACAACGCGATTTTCAAGGTTTGAATGCAAGAATGCCCATAGAAGCACCTCCAGCAATTTATTCTCATGATCTTGTAGGCGACTGATAATGCAGAATTGACAAATAATCGCAAATTGACTATCTGGTGCTGCTAAATAATTATTTCAAAGTTATTAAATATGATTAATGGATCTAAATCTATGTCGGAATTGAATGGCAGATTTGAACTTAAGGTGGATAGTGTTATTTGCAAGTTTATATCTCTGGTCTATGGTTATTTGTTATCTCTTGGACATGTTGCTAACCCTAAATTAAGTCATAAATAATGACTGATATGAACCAGAAATCAGTGGTTTGACACTGTTTTATTAGGATTTCACGTAACTTAAAAATTATTATGCCTGCATATAAGACGTATGTTGGTCCAAATTGCTTTCTCATGGCTCTCCAAGGCAGAAATCAAACCTGGTACAACTGTGAGGTCCTTCAAGCCTCGAAGAAGCTATTGAAAATAAATTTTGATCAATTTATTACCGATTGACTATTACTATTACTATTTGTGAATTGTTTCTCGTGTTCTGCAACAATAGGAAATCAGAAAGTATTTTGCGAGAAGGCGTGCAAATACAAATCAACGACATGTATTAACAATAAACATTATTCCATAATACTTAGTTGCGTCATTCTGATCTGAATTTAAGACAAGATCTAGATTTGTGACCCTGGTTTACTTTCAATTGATATGTGTACCACTGAGTGAGATGTGTACAGCTGTCTTGAGGGCAATCATGGATATATGACTTATGGAAAAGTTAATCAGCAGATTAATATTTTATGAAATTAAAAATACGAACTCATATTGATGGTGTTCATACATTCGTAATCGAAAAATATATTCAAAATCCTAACGCCATCTGAATAAAAAATATAGGTCGATGATCCAGCCAAGAATAGTTTCTTTATCACACAATATTTTTTATAACACTTTGAGAAGGATAACTGTAAAGTCTTTAAAAATACAAAATCTGCTGATCATTTACGGTGATTTTGAGATCTAGCCCTGGTTGTGTTCTGGTCGAATTCTCTGGCAAGTGAGCTTGGATGATCTTCGAGGCGACTTTTGTACTTTCCGAACAAGTTCCTATTGCCAAAAATGATTTCCTGGCAAATTATCGCTAGGTAGATTTATATATCAATTTAATAAAAAATCATGCATCAGGTCATCGAAAGTGACCAACTAGTATTCTATTTTCCACAATAGAAAATATGAATTATCATGTCGGAAAAAGAACGTCTTATTACACGACATTTTCAGCTATATTAAACAAAATCGCTTCATAATGGAATAATGAGACAGTAATTTAGTCATACATAACCGTCTTTGATTGTCCGAGACGCAATGATTGAATATTTTTTTACTTTCACCGCTCGTATTTGAATTTTAGAGTTTGTATTTTGTATTACTCAATATATTTTAAACCGATAAAAAATGAACCAGGCAAATTTCGTATAGGGCTTATGTAAAAAATGTGTGATATAATTAACACGTTTTTGATTATTATTCTCATTTTTTAATGATAGCTTTAATGTGCTTTTAAATAATCTTTATATTGAATAGGAACAAACAAATATATATTACATAAGTTTATTCAATAATTATATTTAAAGCACTTGTTATGTTACTAAGTTTCGAATGCTAATCCATGAATCTAAATAATTAAACTTCAGAAATTTTAAATCTTGTTGTTCTTTAACTTGAGACCTAGACAAAATATTGAATCATAATTCATAAATGCAATTGAACCCCAGGAGGTCTATATCATTGAATCAACCGTCTCAAAAATACAATAAGTGTTTTCCTAACTTTTTTTTCATGCTAATAATGTTGGAACAATTCAAATTTGAATCTAATAACAGTCTTGGCATTTATGCATAACTTAAAAATTACTTTGTCCATTACCATGAACCAGACAAGGTCAATTGGTCAGAACGTGATCGAGATTTTACATAATGATTATATTGTACATTACCGTCTGAGAGCAATTTGCGAATTGAATTAGATTTCTTTATTAAAATTCGTAACGGTAATGTTCTTAAGACGTAATTTATTATCTGTAATGAAAATAGAGGCCAAAGAAAATTGTTGGGTGGTTAATTGATAATTTGCTATTAATTTTTTATTTGTTTTTGAACGGCGATCAGAACAGAAGCAAGTTTGTAGAAGGAAACCTAAGTGTTGGTCTATCTCTATTTAATATATATTTTTTATTAAAATTGTTCTAATGGTGATGATATATTTAACATGATGCAGCAATATTGGAAAGGGATATTTTCAATATAGTTATATTATATAACAATAAAGTAACTTGATAAAGGTGAAACATAATATTTCGCAGATTCCTAGATTTTATTACCCAGATATAAGATTTCAGAATCCATTCTAAATCATAATAATATCGTGATCTTATGACATTTACCAGTTTGTGGATATGACAGGACATGTCGGAAATCTTAGCCGAGACAGAAAATCTGCGGAAATGATAAACAATGATAGTCGTCTCTTGGGAAAGTTGCACCATAAAGAAGGGATTTAAAACATTTGATATATTTTATGCAATATAGATATTCAAAACTTAACACAGTATTGGTTTTAAGTTACATTGATCTTACCAAACCAATCTTAGTAACTCATTTAGATGATCCTCAATTTTTTATGCATGAGTACTGCTTCTATCTTGAATTATTTCGTCAAAGTAAAGTATTTTCAAATTTACGTGGATTGTCATATTGCGGACTTACCAAGGTGCATCAACAGCAGTTTTACAAAGTTTTTTATAAGGAAACCCTCTACTTGTCCAAATTTGAAATCAACACCTCCTGATATCAAGCTGCTTAAGATGGGTCAGGAACTCACAACTATAATTTAAAACACCAACTGCAGGTTCTTACCAAGGAGCTTATTTTTATTTTCACCACACCAAGAATTATGGATATAAATTATTTAAGATTAGAAGGTATATTGGCTATAAAATTGTTATAAACAACTGAGGTTAAGAAGTAGCCAGGTAGTAGACATCTACTGCCTGCTGATTACCATGTCATCATCCGGACAAAAGATAACGAAACATCAGCTTTTACTCGAAATGCAAAAGAACGTTCCACATATTATCATAAAATTTATAGAAAAGGAGCTGGTGTCTACTTAGAGTCTAACCTAGAACAACTACTAATTGACCTAAAAGAATTAATAATAAACTTTGGAATAAATTTATTTTTGCTTGCTTTAATTGTTTTATGTGCATAATGTACACAGTTTGTTTGAAATATAAAAGAATTTACTCTAGATTTATTATGGAATGCATTGCAAATTGATTTTACTTAGCTGATACAAGTAAAGTAGAGAAAATCCTTGGAATGTTAAAATTGACGAAACTTTTATCATGTAGCAATCTTCCGATTTACTCTATTATATCTCTATTGAAAATTTGTTGACTAATCCTCTTACTGATTGCAGAATAAAAATAAAATAAAAAAAAAAAAAAAAAATAATCCTCTTACTATGAAGTAGTTTTTCTTTTCCATTGTAACTTTACTGGCCTTTTATGTGGTTACTAGAAGACAAGAGAAATTATTCATGATGCTGAAATTATGTGTGCTAAGTGAAAATATGTCAAACATTATTAGGAGCCTGTGGTATATGTTGTACTATAGTTTTGCAAGATAGAATAAATTTTTATTTTGATTAGGAAATACCTAG